GCGAAGTAGCTTGTTTATTACAGAATGTATGGTGGTGGCAGTAGTGTCTGGTTGAGTATGAAAGTGGTGAAAGAGGGTGCTTAGTTGGGTTTCCGAGATTGTGATTAAATTGCATTTCCGAGATTACAGTCCAGACAGGTGATGTGGTGGGCATGCAATTCGACAGTCCCTTTCAATGTATGTTGCATGAGTAACCACAAAATTATGTTTCTCTATCCTAATGAAGTCTGTATGATGGTTTTTATGGAGCATGGGGCATTAAATGAGATGTATGATGTGAAATTTTTAGCAAAATTGGATGTAGATATACTAGGACATGACAATATCTAACAAGAAATATTTTGATGGGGGAGAAGTCTACGTTTTTAATAAATTTATCCAAATTTGTGCATTAGTAGTTGCACAAATTGGGAATTAAAGATTAGCGCAAGTGTTTCTTTAAAACTGTTTCTGCTTTCTTTATATCTTTATCTTTACAATAGTTTTCTTTTTTGTATATTAGAAGCGGGGTTCATGCCTGACTTGGCAAGGTAAATATTTAGTTTCTTTTGAAATATCTCATGTTCTTGACATTTATTGGCTTGTGTTGCCTGATATGGTGTCAGTGTCAGAGCTCCTATGGTCTACTGTTCATTCTTCATGGTTTGGTTTTGACCGTGATATTGTAATCATAGTAAGAATGAAATGAACAAAGTAGGTTTTTGGTTGGGAGGATTAATCTTGTTGAGGATGTTTCATGCACACACTCTTTCCAAAAATGTCTATAAAGTACAATGTTACTCATGTAAATTATACTATATATAGCATTGGTATTGACCTTTAATTCATACTTCATTAGTTTGTTTTTGGCTGTTGCAGGTATGATATCGCCGACCACTGGGAGGGTGACAAGAAATCAACATGATTACTATTCAACATTCCATAGGACACCCAACAGAAAGAAGTTTTCAAAAAAAGAGTGGGAGAATTTCACCCAGGAATCTACCCGACATGCTGTGGCTGAGTTAGCATCCTCTCCAAAGTTCACTGATTGGATTATTAAGCATACTGACAGGATACAACTCCTTCCAGATGATAGTACAGATAACACAATTGTAAGTGGCTCAGATTCCACAGATGACAATCTTGTAGAAAGTGGCGATTGATTTAGTTTGTTTAAATGGTAGCTGCGACGTTAAGAGTAGGAAATTAGTTACTTGTAGCAGTACAATGAGGTAGAGGCTAGGAATGGTGCTCATTTAATTTTTCTTCTCCTTTGTTTTAGGTTTACTTTTAATACATCATACTATGTCATTAAGCAATTGTGTCAAATCTTTTGAAATCTTCTAATCATGTTATAGTGCCTTCTCTTTCTATGCCTCTTCCTACCAAATACTTTTGATGGTTGCATAAAAAAGAGTATTGTCAAGTGTTCTAACTCTCATTTTCAGTTTTAACCAACTTATTCAATCACCCACAAAAAGGGCAACACACTCGTGCAGTTTCAACCTCCGTTTGCATTTGTTTATCTGTTTTAGTTCAAGTTGGTGCATATGTTGTGTTTGTTTCTATCACAAATCTGTAATGCTACAGCTGGAAGGCCTAGAAAGGTATCTCATCTATGAAGCTAGTTTTGGTAAATTTTAAGCATGGTTTCCATTCTCCCTGTGAATAATTTTAAGGGGTAATTACATTTTTGGGGATTGACATGCATATCTTAATAGATAGATTGATTACCTAATAGGTCATATGATAATGAACGGCGTTTTACCTTTATATTTTAGTGGGACTTTGGAAAACAAAGTATATTTTAGTGGGGAATTTATCTTGATTGCAATAGGGTTGGGAAGAAAGAAAGAAAAAAATATGAAGCATGGAATTTATCCCTTGAATTGACTAAACTATCCTTCCCTTTTGTTCTTTCCTCTCTGTTCTCTTCCATTTCAACTTTGGTTGCTTGGCACTTCCTGCTAGCCACCATTGCCATGCCCTCCCTTGTTACCCCCAAAGCCTTCTCCTACCCATCCTCGCAACCCTAGTCCTTTCCATCATTTCCTGTCATCCCTACCATTGTTGCACCTGATTGCCACCTTGTTGCTTCTATCAGTCTCAACGATAAATCCCTTTTCACCTAAGCCCTCGCCATCACAACTACCCTTTCCTATGAACCCTAACCATCTCAGCTGCTTGAACCTCTTAGCTTCTCTCTATTGCGATGTCACACCTCTACCCCTTATTGTTGGGAAACATGTTTGATAAGTGTTACTTATGCTAAGATGTACAGGGTAAATTAGTGTGCGGTTGTCACTCTAGTCACTTGCGTCACACATAATTACAACTTGCACTAGAAGTTTCGCAGCAATAGATGTAATAGTGAGGAAAGAATTGTATAAAGTGAAATTGAATGCTTAAAAATGATTTATACAATTGATCAAATTTATCCCAAAGTTTAGTTTGGTTTGATTTATTTGTTCATATGACCAATTGGTGCAAATCCTAGATTTTCCATAGATCTTTAACTTTTACAACTTAAAAACAAGTGTATGAACATGTAATTATGGATCAATCTCTGCTAGGCACCTAGAAGGTGCACATGATGCAACAATGTGATTGAAGTTACGATGTATTGTGCTTAAAATTATAACTTAAATATATTGAGTCACACTCGAGTTATGACTCACCGAGTAACTCATTGGGTCATTGGAGTTATGACAGAATGAGATCACATCATATTTTGAGAACATTGTGCTATAATTTTGTGCACATCTCATCATCATAATTAGAGAGGGTATAAATCATGCACACTTTTTTGGGTTGCACATTATAGATTTTTCCTATAATGACAAGTTCTTTATATGAACTAGCGGTGGGTGTCATGTCGTGTTAGGTTGTATTCGTGTGGTTTCATTTCGGGTGTGTATAAGAATTATTTCAACACTAACATGTTTATTAATTCGTTTTTTTGAGTCATGTCATTTTTTGTATGTGTTAAGTTCATGTCTTAATAACATATCATATCAAATTTTTTTTTTAGCTTAATTAGTTAAAAAACTTAGTGTAAAGACCAATTATTGGATGAAATTATTCATAAAAATATTTGCTTTCAATTCATTTTTTTTTGGTGCTTAATTACAAAATTAAATCCTATTATTATATATTTTTATTAGATTAAAATAGTAGGAAAAAAAATTATCTTCAATTAAGAAAAAAAAAAAGCCTTAAAATCCCTATTTTAGGTACTTTTTAATCAATTAGATGGAGTTACATAAGTAATTCAAAAATGTCATGGTACCATTTAGTAGAAATAACATTAAAATATGTAAAAAATTATTTGTAAAACATCTATATCAATTTCATTTTATATAAGTTTAATACTAACTTAACTTGTTTAATACTCATATTATTGGATTGTGTCATATTTGTATTTGTGTCGGAAGATGGACAAGTTAACTTGTTTAACTCTTGGGTACCTATTATGGGATGCCTGAGTCAAATTTGTGGTCTATAGACTATATGAAATAGACACAACTAACATGTCTACTCCTATTGTATTCCACAAGAGTTCTGTTATAGCATCTCTAATAGAGATGTTAAATTTGTGTGTCAAGTGCTTATTAATTTAGAGAGTAAATTGGTGCTCTCATGGATGTGTTAAGGTGTGTTATGTGAGGGTAGAGTCCAATTGAATGAGTTAAATATATAGAGTATTAGTGGATATAGAAAGACAACGAAAGAAAGTAAATTACACCATTAATCCCTGTTGTTTAAGCGAATTAATTTTCACTTTAATCCCCATAGTCTTAATTTGAACATTTGAATCTCATACTTTCATTTTTGTTGCAATATTGTCCACTTGTCATGTGCCTTTTATTTTTTGGATGGAAAAATAACTCGTGTACAACTAAAGAGATTAAAGTGGAATTCAAAAGAAACAATAGAGACCATTGGTATAGTTTATTCAATTTCTTTTCTTGTGTTGAAATTGCTAAAAATCTCATATGTGTTGTACGTGGTAGTTTTACGTATAAAATTTCAACAGTATGTGATAGAAGGATTAGACTGTAACATAATATAAAGTCTAAATTGAAATTATGAGGACCAAACTGAAACTTTGCTCATCCTAGATATACCAATGATATAATTTACCTAAAAAAAAGTTAATTGGTGACTTGGCCAGCCAAAGGGCTGTCACAATTAATGAAAGTACACAGTGGCTGATAATGTTAAAGCGGAAGATAACATGTCCACTAGGATAGAAAAAATGGAAAAGATTAGGTAACTATTAATTTATGACACTAACTACCTTCTTAACAATTTCTAAGTTCCAAAATGTAAACATTTAGGAAAGGGAAAAGAAAAAAGACAAGAAAAATGAAAATGAATACAACTTAGATATGCATATTATAAGCCAAATTGAAAACATAGTTGATAAGTAATTACAGATGAAACCAAGGAGCATAAAAGGCTATTAGTGAAGAGAGATGCAAAACAAAAACAACAAACCAATTATTGATCAACAAAAGAAATCATCAAGAAGTGTGCTACTTCAAAGACCACAACAAGGGCATAATCTAATCATTTTGACAATATATTTTCTCCTTACTTCAAGTGCATTCCACAACAATTTAATGGTTAAGTAATACAAGACTTAAGTTGTTTTGTACGAAGTTTGAGTGGCCTTGTGATAAAAAAAAAGTAAAGTTGCAATTTTTCCTGTTTGCATTAGAAACTAACTTCCATTTATATTCTTATGCATTATACACACACATACACAGATATATATATATATATATATAACAATACATATTATTAGTGAGTCAGAGTATATAAGATAAGATTTGCATCTCTATGAAACAGAAAAATTACACGTTTCTTCCACATGTTGCCGTTCATTGGAGATTACAAACCACAATACTTGCATTGGCAAAAGAAGACACAGTGACGGAATTGCGGTATAGCTTTTCCTTGCATTGCAGCCTTCAAATACTTTCTCCAATTTATTAGAATACACAATATATTTACTACGAACAATTTATAATTGACTTTGTATGAGCTATCTTCTTCCGAACCTTCTTTGATCTCTTCCCATTTTGACGCATTTTTACACCAAAAATCCTTACGAGCCATTCTTCTTTCCTTCGAATAATGTAACTTCCAATCAACAAACCAAGCAATACTCCACACCCATATCCCATCAACACAGCTTCCCAACCAAAGCCATCAAATTTGAACTTAAAATTGTGGCTAAACGAGGATGGTAAAGTTGGTGATTCTGCTATTTGGACATTCCCACAATTATTTGACAAAGGAAACCCGCACAAGCCTTGATTTCCCTCATATGAAGTGCTTAGAAATGTTTCAAATTGCCCACCTCGTGGTATAAGTCCTGTTAGATTGTTTTGTGAGAAATTAAGAAATGCAAGGAATGTCAACTTAGTCAGCTGCTGAGGAATCTCTCCAGAGAGTTTGTTTTGGGATAGATCCAAGGACTCAAGGTTAGTTAGATCCTCCAAGGACATTGGAAGGAGACCTATGAGGCCATTACTTGAAAAATTTAGGACACAAAGGGCTTTAAGTCTTCCAATGGATATTGGAATATTTCCATCAAACTTGTTGTGCGAGAAATCAATAGCTTTTAAGATGGTGATGATCCTTACGAATTCCATTTCCAGTCCTTTATTCATTATAGTTACCGAATAATAACCATAATCATTACCCATATAATTTAAGGAGGATTTGTCTTCATCATCCATCATCATTGAATGCATGCTCTCAAAGTATTTTGATGGCAGAGTACCTGTAAATTCATTGTGAGACATGTCAATGATATGCAAATTGGTGAAGGCCAATCTCTTCCTTGGTTGTCCTATGGGACCATGGAATTTATTATCTCGCAAGACAATGACCTTCAATCGGGGCAGGTTCTCCAACCAAAATGGAAAAGCGTCTTCTATGAAATTATGACCCAGATTCAAAATTTCTAGGTTTGTGCAATTCGCCAATGATCTTGGAAGTATCCCTTGCAATCCATTGTGGCTAATGTCAAGTTCCTGTAACATGCTTGCGTTTCCAAATGTTTGAGGGATGGTACCATGGAAATTGTTTCTTTGCAAATTTAACGAGGTTAAATTTCCATTGAAGTTCCCCAAACAGGTAGGAATTAATCCGGCAAATTGGTTATTGGACAGATTGAGATATCGAAGAGAATGAAGATTGCAGAGTGGATTGGGTTCTTCATTTAGGTGGTTGTTCGAAAGGTCTAGCACCTCCAACAATTCCGTTCGGGTTTTCAGAAATTCAGGAATTTTACATATGTTGCAAGACGACAATCGTAATGTCCTAATGTTTCGGAAAGAGGAGGGAGTGGAGTTGGTGGAGGTCAATGATAGACCACTGTTTGAAAGATCCAAATAATTCAAATATTCAATCTTTGCAAACGTGTCCAGCTCAACAGTGTCGCTTAAATTATTTGATGAAAGATCAAGATAGGTAAGGTTCACAAGATGAAATAAGGAAGGAGGTATTGTCCCATTGATTGAGTTACTGCCTAAATATAGATACTGTAGATTTGGAAGGCCAGTTATTGATGATGGAATGGGACCTGTTAGTTGATTGTTTGAGAAGTCTATAGATTGAAGTTGCGAGAAGTTGGAAAAAAGTTGAGGAATTGGGCCTTCAAAATTGTTGTATGAAAGATCAAGCGAAATTAATTGCGTGAGGTTTGTAAGCGATCTCGGAATCGTACCAGAGAAATGGCAGTCATAGAGGTATAGCTCCTCCAAGTACTCAAGTTGGCCGATGGAATTAGGTAGCTCTCCAGTGAAATCTATTTCAGAGAGATCCAACGACCTAAGGTGCCTAAGGTGCCGGAGAGTTCCATTAATAAAACTTGGAAGTTTACCTGTGAGTTCTCTGTTACCGCCTAACCGCAGCTCCTGCAATTTCTGTAAGTGGAAAATGCTATTGGAGAAGTTATTCCCTTGCCAGACTTCTTCTTCCGATGGTTGTATTGGGCCAGAAAGATAGGACAAAGAGAGGTTAAGATGGGTCAAATTTGTGAAACGGCCAAATGAAGGTAAAATTTGAGAGTGATTGAAGTTGTTTTCAGAAAGGTCGAGGTGTTGAAGGTGAACAAGATTGAAGAGGCTGCTGTTTGGATGGATGGTACCATATAGGCAGTTACAAGTGAGGTCGAGGCCAATGACATGAGAAGTGGTGTTATCACATGTGACCCCATCCCATGCACAACAATCTGTACCCTCTTTCCAATCATATTCCAATAGATATGGGAATCTTTCCATCAAACTTGTTGTGCGAGAAATCAATAGCTTTGAAGATGGTGATGATCCGTATGAGTGTCATTTCCAGTCCTTTATTCATTATGGTTACCGAATAATAACCATAATCATTGTGCATATAATTTAAGGAGGATTTGTCTTCATCATCCATCATCATTGAATGCATGCTCTCAAAGTATTTTGATGGCAGAGTACCTGTAAATTCATTGTGAGACATGTCAATGATATGCAAATTGGTGAAGGCCAATCTCTTCCTTGGTTGTCCTATGGGACCATGGAATTTATTATCTCGCAAGACAATGACCTTCAATCGGGGCAGGTTCTCCAACCAAAATGGAAAAGCGTCTTCTATGAAATTATGACCTAGATTCAAAATTTCTAGGTTTGTGCAATTCGCCAATGATCTTGGAAGCATCCCTTGCAATCCATTGTGGCTAATGTCAAGTTCCTGTAACAAGCTTGCGTTTCCAAATGTTTGAGGGATGGTACCATGGAAATTGTTTCTTTGCAAATTTAATGAGGTTAAATTTCCATTGAAGTTCCCCAAACAGGTAGGAATTAATCCGGCAAATTGGTTATTGGACAGATCGAGATATCTAAGAGAATGAAGATTGCAGAGTGGATTGAGTTCTTCATTTAGGTGGTTGTTCGAAAGGTCTAGCATATTCAACAATTCGTTTCGGGTTTTCAAAAATTCAGGGATTTTACTTATGTTGCAAGACGACAATCGTAATGTCGTAATGTTTCGGAAAGAGGAGGGAGTGGAGTTGGTGGTGGTCAATGATAGACCACTCTTTGAAAGATCCAAAGAATCCAAATATTCAAGCTTTGCAAATGTGTCCAGCTCAACAGTGTCGCTTATATTATTTGACGAAAGATCAAGATAGGTAAGGTTCACAAGATGAAACAAGGAAGAAGGAATGGGACCTGTTAGTTGATTGTTTGAGAAATCTATATATTTAAGTTGCGAGAAGTTGGGAAAAAGTTGAGGAATTGGGCCTTCAAAATTGTTGTATGAAAGATCAAGCCAAATTAATCGCGTGAGGTTTGTAAGCGATCTCGGAATCGTACCAGAGAAATTGCAGTGAAAGAGGTGTAGGTACTCCAAGTTTTTAAGATGGCCGATTGAAGATGGGAATTCACCATTGATCCAGTTATTCCCAAGACCAAGCGCAATTAATCGCGTGAGGTTTGTAAGCGATCTCGGAATCGTACCAGAGAAATTGCAGGCAGCGAGGCCTAGCACCTCCAAGTACTCAAGTTGGCCGATGGAATTAGGTAGCTCTCCAGTGAAATCTATTTGAGAGAGATCCAACGACCTAAGGTGCCTAAGGTGCCGGAGAGTTCCATTAATAAAACTTGCAAGTTTACCTGTGAGTTCTCCGTTACCTTGTATTGGGCCAGAAAGATGGGAGTAACCGAGGTAAAGATGGGTCAAATTTGTGAAACGGCCAAATGAAGGTAAAATTTGAGAGTGATTGAAGTTGTTTAGAGAAAGGTCGAGGTGTTGAAGGTGAACAAGATTGAAGAGGCTGCTGTTTGGATGGATGGTACCATATAGGCAGTTACAATTGAGGTCGAGGCCAGTGACATGAGAAGTGGTGTTATCACATGTGACCCCATCCCATGCACAACAATCTGTACCCTCTTTCCAATTATCAGTGATTGGAGCAGAATAATCATAGCAATTGAAAGAAACAGCGCAATTGAAGGAAAAGAGTTGCTTAAATTGGAGCAAAGCAGTGCTCTCGTGATTATGGCAAAGATGTGCAGAAGAAGAAGAGAAGCAGAAAATTAGGGAATACAGGAGGATACATATTGTGAGTTGATAATTGGATAGTAAGAAACCCATTCTTACACCAGTATTGGGTGGGGTGGTAGAGAGGGAATTGGATATGATGCTTCTTCTATATGCACTCTCCTATTTATAACTTAATAAATAATTCAATTATCAAAAAATATAAACTGAAAATTGTTATTGTGTAGTCTCACATATTACCATTGTATCAGTTTAATGGATTCCATCACTTGGTCAATTTTATTACTAATATAAAGATAAAATATAAGATGATAAATTACTTTTAGTAAATAAATGTAATGCAGCTTGTTTGGTTTGTGAATTCTGAATTCACTTTTTAGAAAATTAAATTTTTTTGTTTTCCATGTTTTCTTGTTTTCATTGATTTTTTTTTTATATTTTAAATAATTTTTTTAATTTTTAGATATACCTAACATAAATACACTTAAAAAATATAATATTGGTGAAAAAAATCTTTAAAAAATTCACTAAATACCGAAAATACAAAAAAAAAATATATATATATATATATAAATTCAGTACATTTTTCGTATTCTTGTGTATTTGTAAATTTTTTGAAATATTTTTTTACAAATATTTTACTTTTTTAGATACATCTAGGTAAGGTGCATCTAAAAAAGTAAAAAAAAAAATGTTTAAAATTTTAAAAATATTCACTAAAAACAAAAATACGAAAAATAAAAAATTCAATTTAAAAAAAAATTAAATTTAGAAAATTGAAACTAAATACAGTGATTTGTTTTTAGCATAGTATTATTGAAGTAATGAGTCCCAACACTTGTTCATTTTTATCACTAACAATATAATGTTAACATTTGAGGTGATATATAATTTTTAGTAAATAAATGTAATCAACATTGTATTATGAATAAACTTGTGTTTGAATTATGAATTGGTAAAGTAATTTGAAAAAAGATAGGCAAATATAAGAGAAATATAAATAAAATATAAGCTAAATTTTTTATCCCCTTTCTCACATTTTCATTTTCATTTTCATTTTCAAATCACTATTTAAATACATAATCAAATATGATTTAAAAAGATTTTTTATTATTATTATAAATGATTTGGCCATTTCCCAAACAGTGCTTGAATAAAGGACCTATTATTATTATTTTTGAGAACGATAGTCTCACATATTATCATTGTATTAATTTAATGGACTCCATCACTTGGTCAATTTTATTACTAATATAAAGATAATATATAAGATGATGAATTACTTTTTAGTAAATAAATGTAATTAGTATTCAGCAAAGCATTATTAAAAGTAATGAGTCCCAACATTGGCTCATTTTTATTACTAATAATATAATGCTAACATTTGAGGTGATATATAAGTTTTAGTAAATAAATGTAATCATCATTATATTATGAATAAAATTGTATTTGAATCATGAATTGGTAAAGGAATTTGAAAAAAGAAAGACAAATATAAGAGAAATACAAATAAAATATAAGCTAAATTTTTTATCCACGTTCTCACATTTTCATTTTCTTTTTCAAATTAATATTTAAATTCATAACCAAACATGAATTAAAAATATATATTTTTTATTTTCTTTGTTTTTTATAAATGATTTGGCCATTTTCCAAACAGTGCCTAAATAAAGGACTCACAATACTGTTCTAATTCGGTGCTTTATGTCAATAGCAAGCTTGACTAAATAAAAAAATTCGCGTTGATTCTTCGGCACAATGGGCTTCGGATCTCCTGTACCCATCTTCTGTCTCGTTCATTTTAGGCTACCATGTCGTCAATCTTGAAATCATAAATGGGACAGAAAATGTGTACAAAAAATGGGTATAGGTGATCCGAAGCTAGTACTATGGACTTGGAATTATTAGATTGTCCTAATTATATTAATATACACACACAACTAACATCAAAGAGTAAAATATATAACTAAGGCCCTGTTTGATTAACATGTATAATGTCATGTTTGTTTTTAACGATGAAAGGCTGGATTAGATTAGTAGTAAGAAAATGTTTATAAAATTATTTTTATTTTGAGAAATTGTGAAATGAAGAAATAATCTAATGTATATAAAATAATTAATAATTTAATTTACTAATGAGGGTTTTAGATATTTTAAGTGCTAGTAAATCATTCTTACTCACCATGAGTGATTCCTCATTTTCCATTTAATTTTCATAGGGTTTTTTGACTTTCTAAAATTAATAGATTTAATATTATTACCCATAATAACACATTCACAAAATGATATTCTGGATCAGATTTCTTAACGGATCGAGCCTTCTTCAAACAAAAAATAACAAACTATATAAGCTTTAACTATATTATTAAAAACAAAAAATGATTCAAAACCATAATTTTTATAAATAAAACTAATAAATAATATAATATGATATTTTTGCAATTGTAAATTACCATTAGGTGTTTTTTGCTTGAAACAAAGGACTGAAAAATGACATATTATTTCGTATGAAATTTTTCAATAAAAATTATATATATATAACATTATATTTTGTGAAAATCTTTAAAATTTTGTACATCTTTATTGAAGAAAGGGATGGAAAAATGTGTACTGGGAGAATTGAAAAAGAAAGTTTCTTACAAGATGTTCATTGGTGCAAATCCTCTCCTCTCAACCAATATAATAAATAAAGTAATAGGTTGGATTCTCTCAAGTTGGCGAGAGTAGTTGCGCTTAATGAGATCGTTTTGTGGTTAATCTCAATAATTTAAATTGTTAATTTTTTAAAATTTATCGAGTAAATATTCATATAAAAAATCAAAATAATTAGACAGTGGTAGTTAATAGTTATATATTTGAATTACATTTATCTTAAAAAAATAGATGACAAATATAATTTCAAGAATAATCATAATGTAAATATTATTCAAACATATAGCTATTAATGTGCAATCACTGTAATGAATTTTGCATTCAACGAATCTTCAAAAGTGAGCGGTTTGAATATATTATCAAGATCAATCTCAAAGGGGACACACCAAACCCGAATTATTCTATTAAGTTAGACGACTAACTTGAGGAAATTCAAATCGAAAATTAATAATTGTAAAGCAACCAAAAGAAAAATTGAAAGCTTTTGTCACTGTAGTCCTCTAATTTTCAACTAACGCTTGGTTCTTTGAAATTTCATCTCATATTTAGTGGATGATTTGGTCCTCGAATATTGTTTGTATTGATCTAGATTTCATTTCACAAATTAGTGGAAATATGTTGGAATTTAATTGGAAGCTTCACAAATTAGAATTTTTTTTTGGTCAATCGTTGAGTAATATTACTAACTTGATTTTATTAATACAACTTAGGAGTCTACCTTGATATTATCTATAAGCTTTAAGTTAATCTTTAATAATCTTGATTGGATAACCATAAAATTATGTTGTTCTATAAGTTTGATTTTTCAGTAAAATTAATTTAGAAGTCTACTATAAGGCTTAAGTAAGTCTTTAGTAATCCTCACATCATAACGATAAAATTAAATAGAAACCCGTATTACACTTTTATTAAACTGGACTACAAGCATTGAATGGTTACAAATTGATGAGGTTTGGTAAATGTTTTATTGTTGTTGTTGTTGTTGTTTTTTTTTTTTTTTTGGAATTTTTTTGACTTTTAGGTGAATTTTTTTTTTTCTGCTGAAGATGCTTTTGGTAAATTTCTTTTTTACTTATTTGGTGCAGCTATCTGAGCTGCTTATAGTTTTTTTTTTATTCTAGAAGACTATATGTGCCAGACTATTTAGTACATCTTCTGCTTATGTTTGGTACGGCTTTTTCTTATAATTTATTAGAAAGAAATAATTTAAATAAGTTGAAAAAAAAAAATTTTAATTTCTAAAATTTGGATGACGATTGATTTTGGCTTCTATTTTCAAATTACTAGTTTTTAATTTATAATAAATTGTACTAAACAACACTATTGTTATTATTATTATTATTAAAATATTATCAAATTGATTTCTTAGATTTTGATTTGTTAACATAAAGAAGAAGCAAGAAACCAACAAATTTATTTTTAATATTTTTTTTGATTGGGCCAAATAAGAATTTTAGTGACCGTAATTACAAGTCTTTGTTTGCGGAAAAATTTGGATTGTTGAAAAGTTTAGAGGGATTCTTGTAAACGAAATTCAATTATGTGGAAAAAGAAATGCATGACTGAGTCATAAAAAAATTGGAATTTAATTAAAAGTATCAAAATTAAAATTTTTGTGACATGAGTCTTTCAATATTTAAAAACCGACCCCACATGCGTTTGATTTGTCACTAACTTTAATAAAAGTCTTCACAAATTTTGACTAAAAGTTTTAAGCAAGTCTTCTTTCATCTTTACTTGACATCTTCAATGATAATAAAGTTATGCATCTAAAATTTTTATATAGATTTTTTTTAATGTGTAATTTAAATTTAATTTTTATATTGTAGGGGAATGAATTGAAATAAAAATTACGTTTTCTAGTTATTTTTTTTATGACATTCAGCCTTATTAAATTGCTATATATCTGTAACGCCCCAAAATATTCCAACATTCATGAAAGAACAATAGCAACTCTCCAACCTTTACATCATTAATCGACAAGGTTTGTACAAAATAGTCCCACATGCGAATTATACATTCAATGATATCAAATATATGAATCTATAGCATGTAGAACATCAAGTCCCACAAATAATTAAAATGCCCTTAAGGGCTTACATATTCCAAGACTGAAACTTGGTTACACAAAATATGGTTTCACGAACCCATACATTTATAGCTCTTGGCTAGCAAAATAAACCACAACAAAATAAGAGTTGTTTACTCTCCACAAAATATGTCCATGCCCTTAACTCAGCGAGATCACCACATTTTTTCCTGCACGAAAATCCCATAGGGGTGAGCTTAAAGCCCAGTAGAGAATTCTTAATAAAGTATATACATTTTATACAAGTCCAAAGAAATGAAATGCGTATGCCATGCTATGCTCTTTTGAAAAAAAATAACATTCTTCTCATTTTTTGAAAACCATCATGTTCAATGATATTATGATATCTTCA